GCAGAGGTGTGGCCGGAGCTCGGCGGCGGCGCGCAGTAAGTGGGGCACCTGCCTCCGCCTGGGCCGGCTCCCGCCCTCCCTGGCTGCGGGCCGGACGAGGCTCTGTGGACACGGCGCCCGGGCCGCGCTGAGAGGGGGGACGCAGCCCCGCCTTCCCGGCCGCCAGCGCCGGCGGGGGTCCGGCGAGGTGGCTCTTCCTTCTTTGTTGATGTGCGTGTGCCTTTTTTTAGGACGCTTATGCAAATCTCGTTGCCCTCGCACCGAGTGCCTGCCTTCAGGGAAGTTGATGAGGCGGAGTGCAGGGGAGGCAGAACCTGCCAGCTCCCAGCTCGGTGCCTTGGCCTAGCGCAGCTAACCACCAAGTGTGTCCAAAGACTTTTGGACTTCATGTGAGCAAGTATGCTGAAATGAACAGATTGGCTCGGAGGGAGCCATTTTTTGTGTATTCCCAGTCTGCAGTTCATCTTGCCTTCTGTTTTTGCTATTCTTAGCTTTAAATCAAGGAATTCGGTGATTCTTGGATGGGTGCAACAGGGCAGGGTTCTGGGGAAGTCAGATGCCCTTCCTGTTCTGTAAGCATGCAGACCTACTGGAGGTGAGACTTGAGTACCTGTTCAGAAGAAGAGGAATGTGATACCTCGTTAAACCCCTCTTTGTTCCCTTCCTAAAAGAAAAGATCAGTTAACCAGTTACTGGGTGGAGGTGATACCTAGCCAGTAAACTTGAGATTTCACAGCTGGCTGTCTTTTTGGAGCTCCCTCTGTTGCGTTCACTCAATGGAGAGATAAAGACTTAACCAGAAGACAGTTTGGAGTGCCTGAGTGAGACTTGTCTTCTGACTAGCTTTCTAGAATAGCCTCTGTCTTGATTGTTTTAGCCTTGGTGAGGTGACATGCTTTCATAAGAGCCGTTTCATTGTTCTAATAAATCCTGAGTTGCGGCGTACCTAGCAGAAAACGCTCAGAACATATAGAAACGTTAAAACATTTTCTTTGGTTCCTTTCAGGATTTTAACATTTACAAAGTATAATTCTGTATCACTTGCTCTCTATCTTATTCTTCTCTTTTTGTATTTCTGTTTGGAGATTTCACTGATTCTGGGGTGGTTTTTTGTTGCTTGAAGATTGTTGTCTCTGATTCTTTGTGTCTGTAGCCACCATTCTCCTGCTTTAGGCCTTGAGGTGGCTTCATTCTTTGTTTCTTATGTTTTTCCCCCCTTTGTTTCACGATCTGCCTTTGCCATCTCTTCATTCTTACTTTTTGGTGGAATCGTCTTACTGGTATATTCCCTCCAATGGAAGAATTTTTTTCCTCCTTCTCGTTGATCTTCAGTGATATCAAGGGGCTACTCTTGAAGTGATTCTTTCTTTATCAGTTCTTGTTCAATTTCTGGTGATTGGCTTTCCTCGGTACCACTGAAGTAACAGTTCCCCTTGATCTTGAGAAGCAAGAAAAAAAATGTAATGTCACATCTTCCAGGGCTCAGGGAGGGATAGCTTTAGGGCTCCTCTTAGTGGTAGGATTTTAATAGAGCATAGACAAATGGAACTACTCTAGGAAAATATTAAGGTGACTTCTGATACTGCTCTCATTCTGGAGTTCGTAGCTTTCACAAGTGTCTTCTATTTTAAACAGTTTTCTTCTTAAAGAAAGCTGGTTTAATAAAGAAATAAAAAATGCTGTTAAATTTGCAGTGTAGAGATGCGAACCATGAGGGAGTAAGAATATTCTCCCCATTCCTATTCACCCTACTTACTTACTTTTAACAGTAGAATTCAAGAGTAAATTGTCTTGGGTGTGGGGTAGGACCCTTCAGGAAGTTTCATCATTCTAGATAAAGAATTCTGTAGTACCTGTTCAGAGACAACACTCTTGGGTTGAGTGGTAGATTTTCCAGTCCTTGTGAGTGTACAGGAGGACAATATATGGCAGTATATGGGGTGCCTAGACTCAACGTAAGGTCACTCCTGCTTAGCTAAAAAAAAATGTTGTTAAGCCAGTGCAATTAAGTGAGCTGGAAACTTTGTTTGCTGTGCAAGACAAAGTAAGTTAAGCTGAAACCAATGTAAAAATATTGGTGTATACAAATATGCACACAGTTTTGCCTATTAACTTGAATTGCTTCAATGTAGGATGTTTAGGTAAACTGTTTTAGCTTTGTATATACAAATCAATTGCACAATTGCAAAGGTAATGCTTTACATGTTAAAGTTAGGAGGCCTTCATGGTAGGTTCAGGAAACTGGAGTGTGTCTAGCCCGATATAACCTTGGCCACCACAGCCTAGGCTTCTATTAATAGCAAGGGAATCAAATGTGGATCCTACTTACGAACTTTATCTACCATCTGTCTGCTCAAATAAAATTTTGTGTTGATACTGTATGCGAATATTATAGTAACAGTAGTTTGTTGGTTCTTGTTACTTGGTCTCCATGTTCAGATTTTTTGATTTGATGCATCTTGAAAAATACTGGTGAAGTCTTAGTTAACTGATCTGCTGTAAAGGAAATCTCTCCAGCTTACCATCTGGAATATCTTTTCATTTCCTTTAGGGTGGCTAATGTAAATCTAGAGATGGTTTGGTCTGGGGTATAAGGACGTGTGCTTTAATCTTTTGTAACTAATTAAATCTATAATTTACTTTTTAGAGATAACTGAGTGTTAATTTTTTATTTCTGATGCCTTTATATAAGGAAGCTGGAATATAGCACAATAGATGAATGCTCATTTGCTTTAGGTACCTTGTGTAATTCTCATTTGCTTTAGAAAAATCAGATTGTCACACTTTTTGATTCCCTTGCAAATTGCAGTGTTTTTGATGATTAAGTTAATTGCAGTTGGTCTGATCTACTAGAATGTAATTTAGACTTTAGAAAATACCCAAGTTTGTAAATCTAGCTGCTTGTCAAAGTATTAAAAAAACTCTAGTTGTGGCAAGGTTTAATAGATTTTAAGATCCAGTGATATGTCGATAGGTGACAAGTTTGTAGCTGTCTCCCATATGGTACATAGCCATGGGCAAATGACATTTTGCAGCTCCATCAGAGATAATTAATAATGTTTTGAAGAAAGAACTATCTTCAGTTCTAAAGCATTTATAATAGACTTGTGCTCATAGTTCAACAGGCAAGTTCATCTGTTGGAGGAAAAAACCCCACGCAGTTCAACAGGGGGAAATTAGCCAGGAGTATTTTTTGGTGGTAGATGATCTTGTGTTATAATGAAGCTTCATAGTTTATAAAATAAGCTTGACGAAAGCAATATGCCATGTGGTTATAATGAGAATAAAACTAGTCAATAATCTGTTACTGATGAGTACCTTCTTGTTTCTGTGGCTGTCCTGTTCTGATTCCACTTTAAGTCTGTAGACAATAACCTGATATACTAGAGAGCCTCTATACTTTGGCTATTTCATTCTCCTGTGTCCTGTTTCTGAGTATGCTTCACTGTGTGTTGACTTATTTGTTAAATTAATCATATGGGAAGCAGATGTTTTAGTGCTGCATTACAGTACAAAGACAATAATATCTCCATCAAGGTTTGCATATCCTGAAAGGCAAAAAGCCAGGTTAAGAATTTCATTAAACAGGCTTTTTGCATTGATGTTTGCTGTGTATTTGATGGTAGTTATGACAACCAGTGGCTCCATTGACATAAAGCATCACATTCTCTTACGACTTCTGTCAAAGGGTATAAGAAATTACCAATTTCCACTTGCGATAGCAGACAGTTTCTTTATCAGTAGGCATGTCTGAAGTAAAAGTAACCCTGTAATTATAAGAAAAGTAACTGTTATAGATTGATGTTGTATGCCATGTGTTCAAAAGCACCTTTGGGTACCTAGCTCTAAGCCTTCTGCAGTCCTGTCTCTAATGATCCATGCTTATCTTTCCAATTAGCTCTTAGAGTGCATATCAGCGTAGGTTTCATGGAGATCCTATCTGAACTACACACTAGATCAGACTTCTCTCTTTCCCTTTCTTTTTTTTTTTTTTTTTTCATTATGTCTCCTTGGGAGATGATGTATCTGTTGGGTGTACCATGCTCCCTTAAGAAAAGTCTGGAAAATTAACCTTGTCTCCCCTTGCTGCCAACAAGTATGAGAAGTATAATCTTAGTTTCTAGCCTCCTTATTTTCTCCTGCTTAAATTTATATAGAATTGTCTCTGTTTTTACAGTGCATTAATATGTTTGCACCCAGTAAGTATTATTGAATAGTTTTGTTTTAATTTAAATTTTGGATAGTAGATACCTAGTATTAATGACCTTTGCCGCTCTGTCCACATATACTTCTTTCTCCTGACTTGATTCCTTATTTTATCCTTTTTCATTCATATAGAAATGGCCTTGCTGTTTGGTTTGGGAGCTGTGGAGGAATATATTCTATTTCTTTTTTACTTTCAGTTGCTACATAAGAGGGAAGGGTGGTCTTCTGGACCTTTCTTCAGGAAGTTGCTGAAACATATGCTTTATCAACAGGATGAGATCTTACACATTGTAAGGAGTTTAGCCTCTGAGCATTATGAAACTGTGTAAAAACACCCTGTGTTAAGGATTATTGAATTGGTACAAATGGTGTTCTGTAGGATCTTTATCAACTCCATACAGCTTCTCTGCTTTTGAAGTCCTTTGGGCTAGCAAGGACTTCTGGCTGAAGGGACTGAGGAGAATTCTGAGCTGTACTGCCTGTTAGCCTGACATGAGAGTCTGAATAAACCCATGACCATCTACTTCTGGTGGGTGTGACTCTTCAGAACAAAAACTCCACTTTCTGATCTTCTACATATAAGGTGCAGGAGTTCATGCTGGGATTCACACTGACCGCAACATTTC